GGTGCGGTGTGTGTATAATTTATGTATTTGTGTTTTGAAAAAATCTTATTATGATCCCACATGTTTTCAAACCTTCCCTATTGTATCATTTTAATTACTGAATATCTCCGTTTGCATGTGAGCAATCTTGTACTTTGTTCTGTATTTATTGTATTTGCCTCCATTTTTGTTTCTTTTCCCTTTTGATTTCCATTTGGGCCTGTATCTCTCTGCTTGAAACTTACTACCACAATTGATTGAGTATTGACTTACTTTTGTAAGCCTTGTGTTATACTTGACGGCACACAAGAAGTCTACCTAAAGTCTCAAAAAATAAAAATAATAATAAATTATCCTTGAATATTTTATTCTGAAAATTATTTTAAAACCTAAAATTCTTGTACATTTGCACAGCATTAAATATATTAAAAATATATAAACTAGCATCTATGTCTGTCCTTCGTGAGGAGAAATGGAGAATTAGAACAATTGAGTTAGAAGAATAAAAAAAAAGTTTAATGAGGTCGAAACATAGTATTTTGAATAATTTTTAAGTAAGTTGCATATTAAAATCTAGAGAAAAAACTATTTTAGAAATAAAATAGTGAAGTAAAATGAATACAGCTGAATAACCCGGTATTTCACAAGTAGCAGTACATAAATACTATCTGAAACAATAATCTTAACATTAATAAATATATGTATACTTTTTTGCCCCTTTTAGGAGAATTATTTCAGCACAACCCGTTCCTAGCAAAAGAAACACGGCTGCCAAGTTTCACGTCTGTAGGTCTATAATTTAAAAACTGAATTTTTTAAAATCTATAACACTCTATAACCTCTCTCGTGAGTCTATTTCCGCAATATCCCTCCTAGCTTTCGATATCTACATCACAAAAAAAAAAAAAAAATATCACGCTTTTAAAATTTGAATTCTGTCGAGCCTAATAATTCAAGAGATCTCGTGACGAGATGTTTTTTTCTCCCATATATATATGTAACCCCCTTGGTAGTCGACTATCGTAAAGCTCTTTCTTAACGGATCTCATAGCAAAAGAGACATGGCTGCCAAATTTCTAGTCTGTAGGTCAAAAGCAGGAATTTCTTACCCATAACGCTTCCCCAATGTCTCTTACCAAAAACTTGTCATTATTGGAACTCTACTCGATGAAATAAACATGTCTGCCATGTTTCAAATCTCTAACAGTTCAAAAGTGGGAATTTTTGTTTTTAAACCCCCCACCCCCCCCCCCCCCTCCCTGGGAGCTAATTTTCGCAAAACCCGTTCTTAGCGTATCTCTACTTAATAAAAGGAACATGCCTACGAAATTTCAAGTGTATAGCTATATTAGTTCAGGAGATTTTCCATGATGAGTGAGCATGGGAATGAGTTAAAAGTTAATAATTCTCTTTCACTGAAAAATAGCAATAATGAAAGAACAAAATGCTCTGGTGTGTATTGTAGGCACTTATATTACTGAAATTTAAATTTCTTTTTTAAAATTTTTTATTTATAGTTAGGAATGTTGAAATTCTCATTCAAATACAATAAACAAATGCTATTTTTGTTTCATGATTAGAAACTCAAGATCTTCGAAGTGTGATTGAATGGATTGGTATATAATTTGTTCGATAAAACCATGAACAAAGATGAGAATTACGCATTAGAGCTAAGTTTATTCTTACAAGGGCTTTTAATTTGATTAATTGCAGTTTCTGGTAGCAAATCAGTAGGTAAATATTTAGTATTCTATGTATATCTAATTCTGTAGCTGCAACAGTATTCCATTCAGATCTCTGAAAATTATGCTAATCTTTAAATGTGATTTAGCATATGAAAGTTTAATTACGAACCAAATACTAGTTTCGGATTTACTATAAAATGGAGTAAATGGTTGCTATGAATTATTACACAAACAGTTATCTATGTGTTGTATGTGTGAAAGTACTAAAAGGTATCGCTTGGTTTTAAATACTATTACTTATACATAAAGAGTTCGATTTTCAGGGAAAAAAATATTGGAAAAGGTAAATAATATTACAGCAACCTCAAATTTACCACTTTAAGAACATAGCACGCATTTATAGTTTATGCTTCAAGTTTAACATTTATATAGTTCCTTAACTAATAAAATGATATTTTAATTGAGTGATTAATTAATTGTTTATTATCGTCACACTCAGGGATAACACGAGGATTACTAAACATAATTAAAAGCAATTGTCTTATTCGCGAATGTATTGATATTCTCCCCCCCCCTCTCGTTTTCAAAGTAAAATTATTAATTTAGCTTAGAATGATTTTTTTTATTTATAATTCCTACTATTATATATATATATATATAGTTCACAATCTCCCTATATATATATATAAATCTTGTTCAAATTTTTTTCAATCTTTAATAAAATACTTTCTATTCCTCCGTTCAAGTTCAAATACATTTTTTTAAACTTGTAGAGGATGACACTAGATGTTGATGCATTTTTTTCAAATATTAATTCATTAGTTAAACTTCATTAATGAATAAATAAGAACAAAAATAATAGTCCAACACCTTATATAAAAAATAAAAATCTCTCGTTGTGTCTCTGTAGCGTAATGGATAGCGCGTTAGACTTCTTATCCAATGGTCGTGGGTTCGAATCCTTCTTGGAATGGCCTAATTTCTAAAAATGTAGTTTATGTGAATGAATAAATAGTAACAAACAAAAAGGATAGTCCAACACCCTATGTAGCAAGGAAAATATCTTTCTATTTTGCGACTTAAAATTGTGATTCTGTCATATGTGTATACATATTTATATTAATTGTAATTATTTATAATAAAAAGTAACTAAAATAAAAGTTTTCTTTGTTGACCTAAGTAGGAATTGACTTAATTTTTTTTTATATTACTTGTTAATAATGCTTTTGTATTCAGTATACAGCTTATTTAGACCAAATATTATCTAATGTATTATGATAAATTAATATCACAAGCAAAAAATGTAAGATATATGAACTTTTTTTTTATATATAAAATGCATATGTGCGCCTTAGAAACTAGAACAATATAGCAAATAAATGGATATTTTCATTGAAAAATCTAAATATTAAAAGAAAATAAATTATATTGAGGGGAATTTATAATTATTAATGAAAGAAAAACTCCATGCACATACGAAAGACTTTTAAAAAATTTTAAGTCAATATAATTCCAAGGATTTGATTTCAGATTTTTTTTTGGTCAATTCCTAGATCTTAAGAACGATTATTATAAAAATCCCTTCTTTTCAGGATGCTTGAAAAGTCAAACCTTCCAAAAATCTAAATAAATCTTCATAATTGTATTTCACTGCATTTATGTGTATTTCAAAAGAAGTTGCTTTTTTTGCATAGTTATAGTTTTAACCACTTTATTTTTTCCCATCGATTTAGGGCCAAATTTGCTTCATTTTTTCACCTTGAACATACAATTATCCAGTTATTCATACAAGTGAACACACAAAAAAAAAATCTCCATATTTCAAATTCAGGTAATTTCCGTCTAATTTCCCTAGTAATTGAACGAAAATGTTTTTATAGAAATTCTCACGAAATAGGAAATAAAACAAATTTAATAACAATGATGGTAATGGTTTTTCTAAACCTTGTTATAAGAGATTGTAATTGAATGTTCAGTAGTACCTTTATATAAAGCACTTTTATATATACTTACTTACTCCCAGTACAAGCCTGTAAAAATCATTTATCAACAATATCATCTTCACATGGATATAAAAATACAATTATTTTTATTACAGCAGAACAAAATTTAATATTAAACCTCAGGTGAATCTTCTCTATTTCTCAGACACTGAAAACCTTTTTTCAGTTCATAATTTCATTGAGATGAAGCATTAATAACTATTTTAATAATTACTGTCAGCTGTTTCACTTAATAAATATTCAATTATTCGCAGGAAAATTGGAGATGCTAATCAAGTTCTTTTTTGAAAGTTAGTACAATTAACATGTGTCCTTTAGAAAGATTAATAAAGAGGGTCGTTTTTCTATTGAATAATTACAAAAACCGTCTCTGATTGTGATTTAAATATAGATTAAATTTTGTAGATAATTCCATTGTGTGGAATTCTATATTTTTATATCCAACTGTAAAATTTTAAAATCAAAAACTTCTAATAAAATCTTCGGTTTTTTTTCTTTCTGCATATTAAGTAGTTGATTTATCTTCCGAAGAAGAGAAATTGTACACCCTTTAAAATATGTTTATATTAGCATTATGAGTATTTCATTTTCATTTATACTTACAACAAATTTTCAAGTAATTTCTTGCTTACGATTGTTTATTATAAATATACATTTTGCCTGGCTTGATATGAAAAATACAATGGGAAAAGTGCTTCAAGTCTGAAATTTTAAATAAGTATAAAATTACAAGAATCCCAGTGGCTAAATTGTAGTGCATAACGCTTCCGCATCACAGGTTAGAGGTTCAAATCTCGAGCTGGGAAAAATCGACTCAGACTTCCATCCCTTCTGTGTGTCGACAAATGAGTACCAAGCTTACTTGGGTGCTTAACTTTGGGGGTTTCCCATCAGACTGACCACCTGATCGGAACATCTGCTAATGCACCTCAGGGTCCAAGATCACGTATACCAATTTGGGCACAGTAGGCCTTGGCCCTCATGGGTTGTTGCACCACCGATTTAAGTTATAAATTTGCAATGACACAGTCGTAGTTTTTATTTTGATACAACTTAGCAGATATTCAAGCATTTTGTGTTTTTGAACATTACATAATTAACTGATAAAATTCATTTGAACGCGTAAATAAATTGTTTTTTTTTTGTCTAAGATAGCTTGTAGAGAGTTCTCACGCACATTTTTCTCTAACTAACCTCCCTGGCTGACGTTGCTTAATATGAGAATCTCACCTTGTAAAGGAATCATGATAGATGCAACTGAGTATTGCTGCATAAGCAGATTGTTCTAGGAAGGCGTACGGATGTAAAGAAATTGATATACGGCAATTTTGACGCCCAACCGGTATGGGGATATGACCCTCGGCTCGTAACCGAGGGGATTTGGGTTCGAATCCCGAGTAAGGCATGGCTGTATCTTCTTCGGGAAAAGAGTCAGACTTTCGCCTGTTATGGATTCCCGTCTCGAATGGAAAGCATCGCACGCCTTCTGTTATATGCTGGTATCCTCTTTTGTAATAAATGTCTACATTCTTCTGTTTGTATTGTATGTTTCTGTTTTCCTACTTGTATTTCATATGTATCCCAGTATAAAAACACACGACAACAACATATACGGCAGTTAAGAAGCTGCTAAGTGAGTGAGTGTATATTAATGTTACACTGTAAAACTACACTATAAGGGACCTCTGACTATTAAACCTCAGTCAAATGACGAGGACGACATTAGAGTTGATACCACTTTCTCCTAACTTCCACACCATACAATCGGAAGACATTGGGCCTTGACAAATTTAACGTGCATCTGCCTTCTCTTCACTACGGGTCTTCATTGGCACTATGCTCGAACTCATGACACGTTGGCCACGAGCTCGTGACCGTTACCACAATAGTTTAGTCAAAGAATAGTGATAAGGCTAGTGAGAAATAGCTCAGTAGAAGATTCTTCAGTGAACCCACCCGAAGAGATCTAGAAATGAGATCTAAGTATAGTGATCAGAAAATTTAAGTTAGAAATTGCAGGATAGCAGGAGGGGAAATAACCCTCGCACATTGTTTTAGATTGCGACTTTAATAATGGATCAAATCAAATCAAGCATGAGGAGTGTTATTATTATAATATTTAGTTCATTTGAGTTTGGACAAGGAGAAACTATACTTTTTAGTTTATTAGGGTTCGAATTAGAAAACCTTTCATGTTTAATTACTTTTGAAAAGAAATACTCAAACAAATATATTATTAGATTCATTACCACTTCAGTTGATGCTTATTTGACTCCAACGACACCACAGAGTCCCAAAACGCTGTAATTTTGAAATTTTGAAGCAAAGAAACGTGTATGCGTCTTTCTGAGGATAGAGCGTTTTACAGTTATATTAATATTAAATACTCGAAAAATCTGGAATTATTACCATAAATTATTTAAATGGGTACAATTATTATAAATATAAGCTAAATGAAAAGTACAAAAGGTATGACAGTTAAATTCCCGGATTGCGCATGCTCTAACCGTAAGGCTTGGTGTGAAGGAGTGGGAATGGAATAAAGTTGACTTTTATTTTTCCGGTACTGGTGGCACATTATTCCATCCCTCCATCTAATTCAGTTTGTTTTTTATCCTTGTTTAAGAAAGACGTTGTTGAGTCGAAGTGCCGCAATCATGATAAACGTAAAAAAATCGAACTGCTCATAAATTTGAAATTCCCCTTGAAATTAAAAAAAAAAAATCCAATTGAATGTTTTAAATTATTAAAGGAGTGTTTGGAGATAATTGCACGTCACATAGTCAAATTTTTGAATGGCACAAATGATTTTCGGAAGATTGGAAGATTGCTGAAAATCATGAACGTTCTTGTCGATCTGTGATATCAAGGTGATGCTCATCGTTTTTGTTCGATATTAATGACATCATCCTGATTGCATGGGTACCTCAAGGTCAAACGGTACAATAGCAGTACTACATTCAGGTCCTGAGAAAGTTTCGAGAAAGAGTGAGGAAGAAAAGGCAAGATCTGTAGAGCAACAACATAAGTATTTTGCACCAAGACAACACCTCGGTGCACTCTGTGCTCTCTGTAAAACATTTCTTTGCGGACAAACGCATTACTGTGCTCGAGCAACCACCGTACTCACAAGTTCACGCACCATACGACTTCAACATGTTTCTTAAAGTGAAAAATGCATTGATGGAAACTCATTCACAGTCTGTACGAGGGGTGAAAATAAAAACCCCACACTTACTGAGGGTGTTGACACTTAATAAGCCGCAGCCTGCTTTGAACGGTGAAAAATTCGTGCGCTCTGTATTGATAAGGAAGGAGAGTATGTTGAAAGGGATTTAAAGGTATTTGTACATTGTTTTTAATAAAGCTAATTTTTAAGATTACCCCGGTTGCTTAGCTGTCATAGTAGTATTCCTTTTTATTAATAAATATGTGAAAAATTAGAGCCTAAATGGGTGTTTTTGAAAGTTAATGAAATCTAGATGTGATAGTTTTTATACCTATATGCATGATAACTTTTCAGACGAGCTTTGCCTTTCTCTAATTATCAAAGGTGAACAGAAATATAAGAATTAGAAACTGAAAAGTTGATTTGGAATAATGAATCATTAAGGTATCCGACTACGTTCGGAACCGTGATTTTACAAAAGCGTATAAATGGATAATATTCATGATATTTAGTGTCACTTTGATTAGAAAATGTATATAAAATTGTTTTAAGAATAGTATTACAATAAAAAATTATTTAAGTACAATATTTTGACAAAAAATGAACATAGAATGACCCATTTTCAAAATATTCTCCTTTTGTGAAAAATGCTTCTATTATAATAATATTTTGCCTGTTTATAGCTCAGACCTCTGTACAGAGGCTCAACTAGAACTTTTGAAATATATACCTTAGAAGTGGATTTATCCATGTTTTACGACAACAGAGGGGAGAAACTTTAAGAAAAAAACGCCGATAATTATTTCAATGGGTTGCAATTCTGAAAATAACGTGAATTTTTCAAAACCTTAGTTGAGCCTCTGTACAGAGATCTGAGCTATATACAGGCAAAATATTATTATAATAGAAGCATTTTTCACAAAAGGAGAACATTTTGAAAAAGGATTATTCTAAGTTAATTTTTTGCCGAAATATTGTATTTAAATAAATTCTTTTGTCAAAATGTCCTGAATCTAAGTGACACTGAATATCATGAAAATTCCATTTATGCGCTTTTTTAAAATCACCGTTCGGAAACGTAGTCGGATACCTTAAAACTTGAATAATTTACATTAGAAAACATCAGGAAATCCTCTTTTGTGAAGTAAATGAATAAATTTAAATGAGGATTTGCTGGAAAAAAAAGTTAGACATTTAAGAAACTTTCTAAAAAGTTTTTTTTTTATTTTAGTATGATTAAAAATACGAATAACAATACAACGAAATTATTGAAGATGAGTTAAAATCTGATTAAAATATTTCATACTTGTATACCCCAGAGTAACTACGTATCATGTGCCAAGAATGATTTCTATAGAAATGAAAATTTAATGTTTATTGTGTTCATAATCTTCGCATTATAAAAAAAATTCAACCTTTGATTTATTTTATGTAATTCGAAACTATTATGACGATTTGACTTCAATTTTTAGTGGGTTATTAAAATCAAAATTAACATTTGAACTTTAAAAATGAAAAAAAGTGGCAGAAGATTACTCGTCCTTGAGCTAACAAACAGGTACAGAGCTTCCAAATTTACAATAAAGAACATTCCATTGTCGAAATAGACGCAATTTAAGACTTTTTAAAAAATTATTACCTTGAAAATTCAGTGCATCGGTTCCTCACACTGAAGATACAATTTTGAGCGAAGTTTAAAAAACGAGAAGGACACTTGAATTGATCATGTTAGAACAGAGTTTCTCAAAATGGGGGGAGCGCCCCCTAGGGGGGTGTAATAACACTACAAGGAGGCGAGAGCATATTGAAAGGTCGAAAACAAAAGATTACTTTAAAAAATTATTCATTTATTGAAAGTAAACAAACAAAATACATTCTGGCATATTAAAAATAAAATACACATTTACAATACACTTATAAAATACATTGTGCAGTACTGATACATTAATAATTAATATAACAATACTAAGTTAAGAACAAGATTAATAATTACCAGTGGCCCTATGGGCTTGCCATATATAAAATCATATACAAAATTCAACACTTTTCTTGTAATTTATGCGATTTATAATTAATCTCTCTCTTAAAAAACTGTCGGTTAAAAGTTATGCGATTCGCACCCCAATTCACCATACTTAGGCGCGCGTATGTAACGTATTGGGGTAGGGGGAGAAAAGGATTAAATAAACAAATATCCTCTGAAATAAGTGAATTCTTCGCAAATACGGTCAAGGTCCTTTTATTGCATTCCAAAGCCTTCGGAATAATTTTATGGATAGCAGTACACAGAAAAGATTGTACTTCGGAAAGACGTATATACGTCCGGGGAAATTAATGCTTTGGCTGAGGTTAAAGTCGTATTGTAACCTTAGCGTTTAAGTATAGTATTATTGAATTGAATACATTGTTATTTACACGCCGGGGGGGGGCGATGAAAATTATGATTGAATATTTCGTCTCAAATATTGAAACTTTGAGAAGCACTATGTTTGTATGTTAAGTATTGAGAAAAAGAAACTTCATCTGATTCATATTATAGACATAAACAGATATTAAACTAAGTACAAGTGTTGAAAATAACAAAAGATCTTATTTTTACATTAGAAAAAGAAAGAGTGGAAAGAGGCCTTTGAAATATTTTTTTTACTCTCCGGATGTGATTTATTATAGGTATAAACCTATTTCTTTTTAAGCATAGAATCGAGATACCTTGGGAATTTAGCATCTCGTTAGTAAATCTGTAAGAAAACTTTTTTTCAAATTAAATATAAAAAATTTCTCTTCTCTCGTAAGTCCTTCAAAACATTAATCTTTTGTAAGAAAAGCTTAACTTAAAATTTCGTTTTATTGATTATATAATAAGCCAAAAAAATTTATTGCTTCGATGGAAAGCTTTCAAAAAATAAAATGTATAAAATCTTGTGATCAAAAGGCACAGAATAAAATTATTTTTTGATCTTTTTCTTCAATTGTGAATCATACATGAAAGTGATAGTGTAGCAGAGTAATGAATAATTATATTAAATATATATATATATATATATATATACAAAATGAAATATGTTTAACGCGAAAACGCTTAAGACGAACTATCGATTAACATAAAGTTATACAAAGGTCCCGACAAACTACTATGTATTTTCGTGCATTTTTTTCTTTTAACACGAAATGAAAATCACTTAACACGAAACGAAAATCACTTAACACGAAAAGATTTCCCTTCTGGGAATGAACAA